ATGTAGACCAGGCTGCCCTTGAACTCACAGAGATCTGCCTGCCTCTGACTCTTGAGTGCTGGGATTAAAGGCATGTACCACCATACCCAGTATAAAATCTTCTTATAAAAGAAGGAAGCACTGACATATGACAGGTTCTCTCTCTCTCTCTCTCTCTCTCTCTCTCTCTCTCTCTCAATAATTTTTTGTTTTGTTTCTTGAGATAAGGTCTTACTCTATAGACCACACTGGCCTACAATTTACAGTGATTCTCTTGCCTCAGCCTCCCAAGTGCTGGAATTATATACATGAGCCAGCTCAGACTTTGGAATCTGTTAGGCAAAATCCTGCCTCTGTTACTTACTGCTTATGACTATGGGCAAGATATTTAACTTCTCTTTCTTCTTTGTGAAAATGGAAATAATAATGCCACAGAAAGTGGTGGCAGACGATTAAATTCCATAGCACATACAAAGCCCAAGGACACTAGTAGCTCAGAGAATGTCGAGAATGATATTTCCTGAAGAGCGACGCAGTAACACTGATGGAGCCATGCGCCTTCAGGGCCAGGGGCTATGTCTCCTAGTGTCTCCAACACACAGACTTTGTGAGGGAGGGAAACAATGAGAAGTCATTTGGAGCCACATTATAAAGGACGAAGTTTAGCCTCTATACTTTAGTTAATGAAGAATAATCAGAGAGTTGGTATCACTTAAAGTTAAAAGCAAATTGAAGATGATCTTTGTGAGGAGGCTGAGGAAGGCCAGGAGAGCTGTTGGCGGCCATGTTAACAACTCACTGAGCCTATGGAAACTGACACGGGTTATACACTCAGGCCATAGTAACATGATGTCAGCCTTTCAGAAGAAAATGGAAAACTTCAGTTGAACATCTGGTTGTTTAGTCTACTCGACATCAAAGCCCTGGCTGTTCTGAAACTTTCAGATGTTTGGCTGAACAGTCTAGTTTTCATCTTCAATCTAAGGGGTGACACAACCACTGTGATTTTTGTCAGGTTTAGGCTTGAGGGGTTTTCTTTCTACTTAATTCTAAAGACATTTCTTGTGACAACATAAAAGAGTTTTTAAGAAGAAAAGCAAAAGCACTGCAGTTTTACCTGTTTCTATTTTTCCATATTCACTCTACGGGCATACAAAGCTTACATTGCTCACACACAGTGAACACGTGTTTGTATCCTTCTCGTTGTATTAACTCTTATATTTCAAGTTAAAGTAACACATTTTAAAATAATTACCAGGGGCTGGAGAGCTGGTGCAGCCATTAAAGGCTTAGGCTCACAACCATAAAATAATTACTATATAATATCAACAACTGGATATACTAGAACCTAACTTTAACATTCTAAGAATGTTGGAAATTTTTGTGTATAATTTTTCATTAAAATGAATAATACTTTTTGTCTATAGAATTTTCCCTCTAATTTCATTGAACAGCCAGTTAAAAATGAAAGAATTTTTATTATTCAATAAAGAGTTCTAGATTCCAAAGGCATTATGCTAGTGTCTACTGATATAGACACATATCAGCACATGACTTTCTACAATTTACCATAACCCTTTTTTTTTTTTTTACCAGTACTACAGATTGAATTGAGGGTCTCTCCTATGCTTGGCAAGCACTCTATCAGTGAGCTATACCCTAGTCTTCTTTCCATATTTGTTTGTATGTTTGTTTATTCATACAGGGTCTTATCTACAGTTTGGGCTGTCCTAAAACTCACAATCATAGCTCAAACTGGCCTCAAATCCACAGCATCCTCCTGCCTCTTCCTCTCAAGTGTTAAGATTATAGGCACTCAGCACCATACATTCTGAGACAGAGTCATGACAAGTCAGCTACGCTGGCCTTGAACTCATTCTCTAGTCCATGCAAGCCTAGAACTTTCAATCCTCCTGCCTCAACATCCTGAGGGCTAGGATTACAGTCACCAGAGCAGGCTATCTCAATCTTACCAGCATAATCTTAGTGTTTTAGTTTCTATCCAAACTAAGACAGTTCTAATATATATAGATGTGTGTGTGTGTGTGTGTGTGTGTGTATTTATCCCTTCTCCTTTTCTAAAACATCCCCAAATAAGTACAAACAATTGTCTTAAAGGTATAAACTCAGTTCAGGTCATGGTGGTGCACACCTTTAATCCCAGCACTCAGGAGGCAGAGACAGGTGGATCTCTGTGAGTTGGAAGCCATCCTGGACTATACAGCCAGTTCCAGGCCAGGCAGGACTACAATAGTGAGACCTTGTCTCAATAAACAAACCAAAAACAAAACAAAAAAGGTATAAACTCGGGGGCTGGAGAGATGGCTCAGTGGTTCAGAACACTGAATGTTCTTGCAGAAGACCCGGGTTTGAATCCCAGCACCCACATGGCAGCTAACAACTGTCCATTACTCCAGTTCCAGGGGATCCAACAGCCTCTTCTGTTCTCTGTGGGCATTGCACGACATGGGTGAACTTACCTACACACAGGCAATACACACATACATGTAGAATAAAAATAAAATATTTTTTTAAAAAAGGTCTAAACTCATAGTAAAAGAACATATGAGAAGTTGTCAGTGGACACATTTTTTTGTGGGTTTTGTTTTATTTTGTTTATTATTGAGATATGGTATTGTTATGTAACCGAGGCTGACCTGGATCTTGCTATGAGGCTCAGGCTGGTCCAGGCCCCCAAATAAGATCTTCCTGCTTCTGCTTCCCGAGTACTGGGAGTGCAGGCATTGGCCTCCATGCCCAGATGCCCATTTAAGGGAGAAGCTAGCAGAGCTGAGGAGGTTGAAGTGTATGCTAAAGGAAGCCCAGTGGAAAGCTACAGAATCTAGTAATAATAATAATAGAATATACAAAAAAACTGAGTTCAATCCCCAGGACCCACATGGTGGAAGGAGATAACTGATTCCCAGAGTAGTCCTCTGACCTCCCCAACATGAGCACCGTGGCATACATATGCCTACACACATGCACACACAAATACATACTAAATAAATAAATATAATAAAAAATAAAATTTTAATTTAAAAACCAAGTTTAGGGGATGGAGAGATAGTTCAGTGCTTAAGATCACTGGCTTCTCTTTCAGAAGACCTGGGTTTAGTTCCTACATGGCAGCTAACAACCATCTATAACTGCAGCACCAGGGGACCCTCCCATTCCTTTCCTAGCCTTCACAGGCACTGCACGCATGTGATGCACTCACACACATGCAGGCAAAACACTCATGCACATAAAACAAAAATAATTAATTGAAAACAGAGTTTAGAACCAGGCACAATGTTGCATACCTTCAATCTCAGCACTCACAAGGCAGAGACAAGAGGATCTCTGAGTTCAAGGCCAGCCTGGTCTACATAGCAAGTCTTAAGCCAGCCAGAGCTATATAGTAAGACCCTGTCTCAGAGAGAGAGAGAGAGAGAGAGAGAGAGAGAGAGAGAGAAAATTTAGGGAGTTTGCAACTAATCATGGGTGATACAAGTGGGGTTTCCCATTTATTTGTTTGTTTATTTGTTTATTGAGACAAGGTCTCACTATGTAGCCCTTGCTGGCCTAAAACTCACTGTGTAGGCCATGCATGCTCCCAGATTCACAGAGATCCACCTGCTTCTGCCTCCCGAGTGCTGGAATCAAATGCATGTAGTACCACACCCAGCTGCTTTTAATTCTGTGTGTGTGTGTGTGTGTGTGTGTGTGTGTGCACGCACACGCAGGCCAAGACAATACAAAAGTATTCCAACTGTTGACATGCAAGTCCTCTGGTGGCCTTGGTGTATCTGATTTGCTCTGTGAGGAGAACACAACGTTGCAGACAGGGCTCCAAACTTTCCAACTTAAGAGCTTTTTTAGCTGGGCCTGTGATCCCAGCACTTGGGGGGCTTAGAGGATTGAAGAGAATTCAAGGCCAGACTGGGCTAACATAATGAGTTCTAGGTGATCCTTACCTACTAGATATTCTCTCTCTCTCTCTCTCTCTCTCTCTCTCTCTCTCTCTCTCACACACACACACACACACACACACACACACACACACACACAAAGGAGAGGGAGGAGAAAGGAATTTTTTAGTCTTGTCAAAAACAAGTAGCATTTTAATTTATTTTTTCAAAAAAATATGGAACGCTTCACAAATTTGCATGTCACCCTTGTGCAGGGGGTGTGCTAATCTCCGCATCCTTCCAGTTTTAGTATATGTGCTGTTGAATCAAGCACGATTTTAATTATTTTTTAATTATTATGTCCTGCAAGGTTTTGTGGTGCATGCTTGTGATGATCTTAAAACAACAGCCAAACAAAACAAAATACAGAGGCTGGAGAGATGGCTCAGAAGTTAAGAGCACTGGTTGTTCTTTCAGAGGGCCTGGATTTGGTTCCCAGTACCCGTATGATGGTTAACAGCTAACCATAACTCCACTTCCAGGATCCGATGCCCTCTTCTGGCCTCCGTGGGCATTGCATGACACGGGTGCACGTACATACACGCAAACAATATAGTCATACGCATAAAATAAGAATAAAACGGGCTGGAAAGATGGCTCAGTGGTTAAGAACACTGGTTGTTCTTGCAGAAGATCTGGGATCGAATCCCAGCACCCACATGGCAGCTAACAACTCTCCATAACTCCAGTCCCAGGGGATCCAACAGCCTCTTCTGAGCTCCGGGGCATTGCATGACATGGATGCACTTATGTACATGCAGGCAATACACACATACACATAAAATAAAAATAATAAATAAAATTTTTTAAAAACCAACAACAAAAACCCACAGCTCTCATCTTAAAGGGGATAAGAGATAATTCATTCTGGAGCTAAGTATGAGTGACCAGGCCTGGAAACATAGAGTTAAGTTACCCCAAATTCCATGTCCCAACATGGTAATGTTTTATAAAGTTTCTATAGTAACAGAACAAAGAAAGTCATAAATCAAAACATTTTTTAAATGCATTGGTGGAAGGATCAGGTAGGTGGGTTATAGGAAAGCAGCTAAACGTCTAAGATGGGCCGCAGCTGTATCTGATGACATTCCTTGACATTACCTTGATTGGTAAGATTGGTAGAAGCTATTGGTCTGTTAATACATCCCAAAAGATTTCCCATGATAATTAGAAGAATGTGGGTCAGACACACAGGTGAGAAATGAATGCCTCACAAGAAGGCTAAATAAGCTGGGCGTGGTGGCGCATACCGTTAATCCCAGCACTGGAAGGTGGGGGTAGGCAGATCTCTGTAAATTCAAGCCCAGTCTGTTCTATATAGTGAGTTCCAGGCCAGCTGGGGCTACAGGGAGACCCTGTCTCAAAAAGACGGAGGCGGGGGGAAGGGGGAGTAGGAGGAGTGGGAGGAGGAGGAGGGGGAGGAGGAGGGGGAGGAGGAGGGTGGCGGCTGATAAATATTTAGGCTCTAGACCTGCAGCATCCCAACCTCTCACCATCATTGAAATTCTAATCAACTTTTGCTGCTTTTTTTTTTTCCAGGCACTTTAGCTCACATTTGTATTCTCAGAATTCAGAAGGCCAAAGCAGGAAAATCAAAAGTTCAAAGCCAGCTTGGGCTACATAGCAAGATATTGTTTTTAAAAAGTACTATAAAACTGGGCATGGTCGCACATGCCTTTAATCCCAGCACTTGGGAGCCTGAGGCAGGTGGATCTCTGTGAGTTTGAGGCCAGCCTGGTCTACATAGTGAGTTCCAGGCCAGCTGGGGCTACAGGGAGACCCTGTCTCAAAAAGAACAAAAAAAAAAAAAAAGTGCTACAGAAAATGGATATTGACTCTGAAATGTAAGTGCCAGTCGGGTAGTCCCCATGCCCTTTCCTCCATCCCCACAGTCACCAGTCCTAGTGCAGGCCTCCCTAGCAGAAAACTGAAGGTGAGTCTAACTCCGTCTCTGCCTCCATTCATTCACTTCTACTCAGATGGTTCATACACCTAATCATGTCACTCTCCTGATTAAAAACACAGAGCAAAAAAAAAAAAAAAAGAAAAGAAAGAAAAACTTCAACAACTTCCCACAGCTTACCTGGATGGAGTCCAAACTCTGTGGTAGCTTTCAAGATCCCCCATTACCAGTCCTGAATTAGAATTAGCATCTTCTTTCATCCTCTCATCCCCACCTCTCAACACACACACACACACACACACACACACACACACACACACACTGCTCTAAACTCCAGCTTCTCTGATTATCCTTTTTTATTTATTATTTTTGGGGGGTCTTTTTTTAAATTTATCAGGGCTGGAGAGATGGCTCAGCAGTTAAGAGCACTAGCTGCTCTTGCAGAGGGCCTGGGCTCGATTCCCAGCACCCACATGGCAGCTACAAAACACTCACACACAACAAGTAAAAATAAATTAATTTTCAAAAATTTTTATTTACAGTGGGGCGTGGAGATGCACGCCTTTAATCCCAGCACTCTGGAGGCAGAGGCAGGCAGATTTCTCTGAGTTCAAGGCCAGCCTGGTCTACATAGTGAGTTCTAGGCTGGCTGGGGCTACAGAAAGACCCTGTCTAAAAAAGACCAAAACAATTTTTTTTACTTTTATGTGCATGAGTATATTGCCTGCATGTATGTAAATGCACCCATATCATGCAATGCCTAAGGAGAAGAGGGATCCCCTGGGAGTGGAGTTATGGGTAGTTGCTAGCAGTCATGTGGGTGCAAGGAATTGAACTCAGGCAAAACCAAACAATCCTTTATGGACTGCCTTTGAACCCAGCATTTGGGAGACAGAAGCCGGGAGATCTCTGTGAGTTTGAGACCAGTCTGCTCTACATAGCTAGTTCCAGGCCAGTTGGGGATACATAATGAGATCTTGTCTCAAAAAAAAAAAAAAAAAAAAACCAAACAGCTGGAACTGGAGGCATATAGCTTTAATCACAGAACTCTAGAGATCAAGGTGGAGGATTACTGTGAGTTAGAGGCCAACCTGAGCTACAGAATAGATAGGGCATAAAGCATGGATGGTGTCCTCTATCGGGGCAGCCTCTGTGATCTAACATGAAGGTCATTGATATGTCTACCTAGTGCCGAGTAACAACGTTTAGTGGCTTAGACCAATAACCATCTCATTGTTTCCCACAATCTTGTGGGTCAGGAATTCAGTGAGAGCTAGGCAAGTCACGTCTGCTCACATGAAGTCAACTAGGGAGACAGACAGTACTCTGTAATAGTTACTGACCAGCCCTCTGTTCTCTTGCCATGCACTCAGTAAACTGTTCTTGAAAAAATAAGTCAAGAAGTCAAGTGGGGTCCCTCAGTGGCATTCATTTGGCTGTATTCTCATGCCTTGAGCCACGGCAGGGACAGTAGAAAGCCGGCTATGTTTCGGTCTGTCCCCTCCATATAGTTTCAGTGTGATCTACAGCAGAGTGCACCAGTGTCTCAGGGCTCCAAGAGACAACTGTTCCCTAGGACACAGGATGTAGCAGTTAGCAGTCTGAATTCTTTGGGCTTGGAATGTTGGTGAAAACACTTAGAGCCCACCCGGACTCAAAAGGAGACAATCCCAGTGTGACAACCCAAGACTACAATCTCAGCACTTAGGAGGTGGCAGCAGGAAGTTCAAAGCCAACCTCAGCTACACAGCAAGTTAGAGACCAACCTGGGGCTGTCTCAAAAACTACAAAAAAAAAAAAAAAAAAAAGAAGAAGAAGAGGAGACACAGTCACCACTTGTTTAGGTATCCTTCATCTGTCACCTTCTACCCTCTGCTCAAAATTTGTTTAGATTCCTCTCACATGCAAAATTGCACCCAGCTTCAGAGGAGTTATCTAGTAAAACAGCCATTACAGCATCACACTGAGGATCAAGGTCTCAGTCTCTTGTGAATAAGAACCAGTTGTGGCTCTCGGCTCCAAATACAGATCCTAAGATGGAACTTGGTGAGTATTGTCCCTTTCAGCATCAAGACTTGTGAACTAAAGAGATAAATTATCTGTCTTTACTAAACTACAATTCTGAGAAAGCTAGAATATAACATTAGTAAACGCCCCTGTTCAAGGTCCTGGAGAGATGGCTCAGCCGTTAAGAGCACTGGCTGCTCTTGCAGAGGACCAGGTTCAGCTACTAGCTCCCACATGACAGCTAACAACCATCCATAATTCCAGTTCCAGAGGATCCAACCCCCTCTTCTGACCTCTGTGTGCATGACACAGGTGCACTTACACACATGTAGGCAATACACTCATACACATAAAATAAAAATAATTTAAAAAAAAATTTTTTAAAGCGCATGGTAGCCGGGTGTGGCAGCGCATGTCTTTAATCCTAGCACCTGGTCTACATAGTTCCAGGACAGCTGGGGCTACAGGGAGACGCTGTCTCAAAAAGACGCCCCCCCAAAAAAACCAAACAAACAAAAAAAGAGCATGGTGACAGAAAACAAAAACAGGGTTGGAGAGATGACTCAACGGTTAAGAGTCACTCCCTCTGTAGACCAGGCTGGCCTTGATCTCACAGAGATCTGCCTACCTCTGCCTCCTGAGTGCTAATAGTCACTAGAATTTTTGAAATCTAGAACCAGAAGTGGTGGTACACACCTGTAATCCCAGCACTCAGGAGGCTGAGGCAGGAGGACTGCAGCAAATTCAAGATCAGCCTGATCTACATAGCAAGTTCCAGACCAGCAAGGTCTCTATAGTAAGACCCTGCCTCAACCTTCCCCCACAGCCCCAAAAGAAAAGGAATTCTGAATTTTAGACAGTTGCAGAGCTATTGTCCTAGCTGTTCAGGAGGCAGAAGCAGGTGGGTTCCTTAAGCCCAGGAGTATAAGACCATCCTGGGCAACATAGTGAGACCCTGCCTCAAAACAAATTAGTGCCCTGAGTATGGTGGTGCATGCCTGCACTCCTAACACATGAGTGGCTGAGGCAGAAGGATTGCAGTAAGGTCAAGGACAGCCTGGTCTGCATAGCAAGTTCCATAATGAGACTCTGTTTCAAAACCAAATTCAGGAGGCCAGCAAGACGGTTCTGTGGGTAAGGGTGCCTGACACCAAGCCTGATGACCTGAATTCGATCCCCAGAACCTACATGGTAGAAAGAACAAATTCCTGCAAGTTGTCCTCTGACCTCCACACCTGTCATGACATACACACACACACACACACACACACACACACACACACGCACACACACACACACGAACATGCACACATGCACAATGTTTTTTTTATCTTAAAAAAATTTTTTTTTGTATTTCATACAGA